CACCTCTCGATCGACGCTGAATGACATGTAAACATCACATACACTTACAGTTGTGTAGTGTTAAAACTCCCAGATTTATTAGTCGGATTTCTCACAAACATTATTATAAACAAGGTTTCAACGGATTTTTCCTCGAACTGTGCAGCAGTCATCAATTACAATTATATCACAGTGAATAGGTAAAGTGGTGTTTTACAGCTTCAATTAGGCATAACTCAACTTCTACTAATCAGACTGATTCCAAAGCTAATGACTTTCTGAGTTCCAACATAGTACTTTGCATAGAAGTGCACTAGTTCAAATTTCCACACTGCATGTAGTACACAAAGGTAGAGAAAAGAAATTCAGAACTATGTAATGAGCAGAAACGTAAAGGAGAAAGAATAGTAACGTGGAAAAAATTGAGGGTTTAATACATCTGGGAGATTACAAAGGGTGAATGCATCCTCGCCATAAACACCAGTAGTCTCAAGCCATTGGTTCTTAGCATCCGAAGGACCTCAGCCAGACAATCTACACTCCCCAGGTGGTTATAGCCAGCAGTCAAAGATTTCATCGATTGATTTCAGCTTTCAATTGTATAACCTTGAACGGGAGACAGAACGCAGTCATCTGCGGTCAAAGGTAACTAGCCCCTTCATGCCTTCCACTTTTAATGGTCATGTGTTAGCCATAAAAAGGACACAGCGAACTACTGCGCACTACACATGTCCTTCGATGGATAGACAGATATCACATCTACGCCAGATATGACTCAAGTTCGTAAATTCCACTGAACTCTGCAGTGCAACAAACCAACAAAGAACCTACAGTCCACCAAATATGCACATGAAAATGAAGATGGATTGGACCGTTAAGCGAAATCAAACACCAGACTCTCAAGTGGAGCTCGCAATGGAAACGTTGAGTTGGGTGTCCGAGGGTGATAAAGAGGAGATCATTTGAGGAAAAGATGATAGCTTATGGGCAATCGTGGCGCTAACCATAGAAAACTACATCGAACACAGTGTAATGACAATTCTTGTTCACATTCACAAGTAGGATGCAGCACACCTATGTCACCTACATAGTTCAAGGTGGCGTCGTTAACTACTGGAGTTAGAGACCTTAATGGGCGGTTATTTAGGCTGAAACCAACTTGCTGCAAGACTAGGTTATAAGTAAATTAGTTACCTAAGCGAAACACACATAACTGTATATAAGCTATATTTATTATCGCGATAGCTTGACTTATTCGACGGTTATTTTTCAACTTAATAAGTGATTGTATTGTGCACAACAAACTTCACTGTTTTCAATAGTTGGTTTGTGAGGATTAGATTTGCTTTTTACGGGTTGATCACGGATTGATATCAGTCAGAGAAGCATTGAAAACCAGGGAGCATTGGACAGCTGTTTCGTCCTAGTAGGGTAGTCATCGGCCGATGATTCCCAAACTAGGATGAAACAGCTGTCCAGTACTCCGTGGTTTTCAATGCTTCTCTAACTGATATCAATCCGTGATCAACTCGTAAAAAGCTTCACTGTATTTGTAAATGACGTGCAACTAAATAAAGATGGAAGAATGACTCATTTCATAGTAAAACACTTTACACGTACACAATATTTCTATACAAAAATAGTCCACTTATGCTTTGTTATTTTTCGAAAGTAAAATATTCACTTAAAGCTTTTATTTTATTATACAGTCTGTAGCAAACAACTTTGCTATGACACCGTCACTGACATACATAATTGCTGCACTGAATCGAATAACTCCATCGCCAGAAAATATTATGACGAAATGTTACTGTGTTGTAGTTGTCATTTAACTTGACTAGAATGCGCCTTCAGACACAATACTGTAACCAACTTAACACAATAAAATATCCCGCACATTGAGACAGACACAAAAGTCAGATCCAACCACGACATATTTACAAAACCTCAGGAATTTGGGCCATAAATAAACAAATCAAAAACTACTCCATCAGGTTATCATGTTACTATGCCCATAAACCATGACTTCATGGCTAACAAAGAAGTTTGTCCTTGGTAGCAAACTTCCAAGCTCACTGCAATTACTTTTCTTCTCATTATATTTGAATGTTTTCCTTATGAGAATTTCTTTCTTCAAATAATCATCCGTAAACAAATCAAAATTTACCTCCATGAATCACAGTTGCTGAACTTTTCAAATTGTCAATCTTTATTATTCATTCATTGCCTTCCTAGTGGAACATGGAGATTAAGCAGCACTTCTCTACTACAACACTCCATTTTCTGCTATTATTTTCAACTGGCTCAATGACCAGTTCTTATTTTCTCCTCATATGAACTTCTCCGTAATGACTTCGGACGTCCAACTCATAGCTACTTATTAAAGTTCCACTCGACGACCCGGTGTGTATTGTCGCTCAAGGATCTCTATTTACTTCTGCATATTTTTTTTAGGGGGGGGGGTGCAATAGGTGCTTGACTAATTGTCTTCCGGAGTTCTTTGTTGTTTATACATCCCGCCTGGCCATCTGGTTTCTAATATCGACGTGGCGAAGGCATCTTTTGGTGAGAGTCTGCAGTAGCATGTCGGAAATGTTTCTGGTAATGTGCCGAATCTCTGGATCGTATAGAAGCACCAACTTCACAAATCAAATCTTGTTTCTCGTGCTGAATACTGTGGATCTTCAGACTGACTTCAAAGTAATGCACGCCTGTCTTGCTTTACCAATCCGATCCTGGCTGGCATTTACATCCTCATCTGTGTCGTATGTAGTTGAAACCATGCTGCTCAAGTGAGTCAAACAGATGAATTGGTTTGCAGTTCACCCACCGATAGTGATTGGTGTTGATCAGGTCATCTCAGTTAGTTTACTAATGGGGCCAGAACTCTCACTTCGTAGAAAACATCATAGCTACTCAGAACTTCAAAGTGCAGAAGAAATAAAATTGCACTCTGTTGGAATCAAAGAGACTCAATTCATAGCCTATTAAAATTTCAAACTGTTCTGCAGAATTTAAGTGAATTTTGGATTTTCCCATCGATTGATTGGACCGAAGTGCTCGGTCTCAGTCTGACATGTCGGCTTCTTGTGCAGATGCTTCGACGATGTCTGAGCATGTAATTACTATTTAATTGGTGGATGGTGACTAGCAGTGGAATCTAGGATGCACGTTTCGTTCTATTTGGGACTCGTCGGCTGGATGTACCTGCATTTCTCAGTGAGTGATGATGTCCCCACCGAGGCTCGAACCCAGTGCCCATAGTTTCAAATGCCAAAGCGTTATCCACTAGATCACTAATCTCCCGTTGCACAAGAGGTGGCGGCTCTCGTGGCCCAAGTGGTCTAGTGGATAACGCTTTGGCATTTGAAACTATGGGCACTGGGTTCGAGCCTCGGTGGGGACATCATCACTCACTGAGAAATGCAGGTACATCCAACCGACGAGTCCCAAATAGAACGAAACGTGCATCCTGGATTCCACTGCTAGTTACCATCCACCAAGTAAATGTTCTGCAGAATGTTAATGAGCATTGTATCCCCAAAAGCATCGATTGTAGGAACATTTCAACTATAAGTACTTTTAATATCTTCTTGTTTGTTGAACCAGAGATGAAAATGTAACAGATAACATTTAAAGAGTACTCCCCATCTGATTACTACAGTAAATATGACTGATAACCATCAGCTATTTCCATCCTATTGTAGTATATTTGAATGGTAAGATATTAAACGCCAAACTGCTTTACAATCTAAAAACTTAAGGTACTGCTTATCTCTAACAGTACGTCTTCGTAGATAGTGATAGACTTCATGGGTATGTAGCATTCTCTCGTATGGCCATAATTAGCTTATGCTTAATTTACCCTACACTATCTTTAATGTTCAACCAGTATAGATGGATGTTTCACATGAGTAGTTCACACGTCAAAGGCTTAAACAATCAAGTTTGACAATCTCACCTACTGACTTGAACCTTTACCTAAAAATTTACTAGATTGCCACTCAATGGCATTCATTAAATGAGCACTTCCTATAAACCTTCTCAAGTTCTCCAATTTGAATGGCGCTTATCACCGCAATATCTGGTAAGCTCAACTAAGTACTTCTGAGAACTTTACAGCATCTCCTCAAACTATGAGGATATCAATAACGGGATTCATAGAAAAAATGGTACAACCAATTTGTTACCAATGAAACTGCGTGTACTGGGATGAATTTATTCATACAAATATCAATTAACTCTCTCTCTCTTCTCCCATCGATCTTCCAATTCGTTTATTTATTCCTTCACGTTCCCAGTGGAACATAGGACTTCAAGCTAGAGGCTTGAAGTTTCTGTAGCAGTCGCGATTACTTTTTACAGGATGGGGTTGCTAGCCTCATGTCCAACCTTTCCTCTTTACCAGCTTTATTACTGACTTAGCGACGTAAAGGAGTGCGTTGGTGGCCGGGGATCGAACCCCGGACGGACCATGTACATGGTCGGCGAGCGTCCTAATCTCCCAATTCACTTTATTTTATTTCATTTCAGCCCTCTTTGTATTTTAGCATTTTGCCTATTCATCACACACCCTAAATGATTCCGCTTTTATTCACGTACATATAACATATGTGCACGTAAACCGCCACCGCGAACAATGCTTTATTTTTTCCTCCATCTGAAGATCTATGCAACTAGTTAGGTGAATATTTTTTTTTAATTCATAGAATAAGACAATTCCACTTGTCATTTGACAAAAAAAAGAAGATACATATTTTCCTCGTAAAATCAAAAAAATACAAAATCATTTTTCATTGAATAGTCAAAAATTTCCACAAATACAAGTGAGGATAAAGGAGATAGTTGATAATATGTTCAAACCAATGATTGCTAGCATTGTTACTATTATTATTAGTCGTAGTAGTAGTAGTAGTTGAAGTGATTCCTCACTGTCTAACAGCAACACTGAATATTATAACAATAGCAATAAGGGAAAAGAAAAGAAAAGAAAAGACAAATAGCAATACAATGATGAAATCACAACAATAAATCAGCCTAGAAAAAAACAAACAAAAAATATTAAAACACAATATTTGCAAACAACATAAATGTTATAGATAGCTACGGACGGGGTTTGGGAATGGCGAGGAGGGAGGAGGGATTAACAATGCAAAAGAAGCCAAGAAAGAGTAGAAGGGAAAAAGCGGGGAAAAAGTATGACATCAGTTAAGATAAGCTCTCATTAAGTACTGTAAACTGAAAGCAATAGAAATCACTAGTGTGTGTGTGTGACGTACATTAGCTGAAAATAATGCTAAGATTTCCACACAAAATAAAGTTCACTAGGTGGTAGGTAATACAGGGGAATAAGAAAGACAACGACAAGAACAACGAAAAAACAAACAAACATACATATACACATGTTAACCAAGGAGAGCTTGACAAAATAATAGATAGAGTACAAAGGGAGAACTTGAACACCTGTGTCAAGACAATATCCATATATGAAAGGCATATAGTCGTAAGAAGCACAAATACAGAAAGTAACAAAGAGATCAATAAATTTTCATAAATCACCGTTAGAGAGAAAACTAATTCTGACAAACAAACAACTACTAAATTAATGCATACTTTAATGACAACAACTATGCGATCTGAGGAGTAAAGCTCGATTTTGTGCAAACAAGAAATAACCCAATGTGAAACCGAATATAACAGCCAATAACAAGTAGACATTGTATGTCATCACGATTAACATTAGCATATAACCCATGAATGTATGCAGCATATGTAGAAATGTTTGAACTAGATGATATCCTGAACAAAAGCTATACGGTTTTGTTTTTTTGAGTAAAAGGAAGGAGAAAAGGAAATTGGTTTAATTCAAATAATATACAAATAACATCTCAAAAACATAATACTGTTTCACTGTATGATGCATGCAATAAAGAAAATTAGCAAAACTTACAATTTAAATTGACGACATCGTAAAAGGTAGAACAATTAATTAACTCTCAGGATTTGTTCATAAAAGACATGGTACCACCGAGGGTTAACAGACTCCACTCCAGTCTTCTTCACGATATCTTCTCATGTGACTACGCATACACAGCCTCTCCTAGGAAAATCCTATTCACTGCCTTCACGCAACGGGCATGTTTCTCATAAAAGAGAAAAGGGCGAATGCGAACAACTGGTGCTCACAACCGGACTGGTGAACAAGCTGGTCTATCTAGAGGAGCTGGAAAGCCTAGATTTTAAATCTACGATGTACATGACCTCTATAATCCCAACGGGTAGAATGGTATATGAACCTGTTTTCGTCGCTGGAAACCACGAGAATGCTACTCCGTTGCCTTGTGGATCACACTTCGAGTCAACGGTTCCGGGGACTGCCTTCCTAAGATAACCACCTGCTTCAGTCCGGGCATCCGGGTAGTATTCCGGCCCTTGCACAAACTATCAGTTTTTCTAGGGCACATCTCTTGGTGTCCATAATGCACCAAGTTTATGTTTTTAATATAATAATAATAATCAGACAAGTATTCTTAAGTGATTATAATTATCACTTAACAAAGCTAGCGAACACCTCATTTGAAATAGTATAAATTACGCTATTAATGACGAATATTTCACCACATATAAGAACACTAATGTGGTGAGAGCTGTCTGCAAGACAAATTGTAGACAACAATTGACGTCAGTGTTTACTTCTCAAGTCGGGTAGTGAGAAAAAACAAGAACAAAGCTTAACCTTGCGGAACTCAACAACCAATCACAGCAAACTTAGCGTGGGCGGATACGATTAGCAGATATATCACCAGACTGTCTAAGAAACGGCAACAAACAGCTGACAGAATAACCTTCAGCAGGAAAACAACAAATCGGAAGACGGTGCTCCTCTGCTAACAATAACGAATAATAATGTACATAAAAATCTATAATTATATCTGTTGATTTTCTCAATAAACGATCTGTCGCCTGGCCCTTCTCTTCTGTCGTTACACTAATAGTGGAGTTTTAATGTATAAGTTATCAGTCATAATTATGCTGTAAGAGTTAATATTACTCTTTGGTTCCTAGAATATAAGTGGATTCGGTGGGATATGAAAATGATGGTGTACTGAATACACATCCAGCATATCTGAAAGAGACATTTCTAAGACAGGATTTTGATTTCTCCATGTTTTCTTTTTATTTCCAGTATGAATAAAATTTGATAATGACAAAACAAAAGGAAAATGGGTTCTAGGATGCAAATGAAATCCAATAAACACATTTTAAGAGATATGTACTACTAATACTATCAACTACCGATGGAGTCTGAGTTCAATTCCCAGTCGACGCGCTTCTAAACCTCGCCTTGCCTGTAGTCATGTCAGAAAAATGAAGGTTGAACGTGAGGCTACCAACCTCAAACCGTAAAGCCAACATAACCGATAGTGAAACTCCATAGTTCACGCTCTATTTTCTACTCGGAACACAAAGGAGTGAAATATATATCTCTATATGTTATTGTTCATTCGAAAAGTATGTCATCTTTCAGGTTAGAAACTAACCTGCTCTTACTATGCAGCTGTGTGCTTGATTCTTATTTTACTCTGAGTATAGCATTATGTTATGCTGTTTTGCTAACCACCTTACATTGAAACTAACTACTTATTGCTGACTTCCTAGAAATTTATTTATTGTTCACGAGTATCTGATCAACCCACAATATAGAGATAAACATGCTGACTGTAGTAAAAGAAAATCCTAAAATATAGTTCCCGCCAGTTGAATGTAAAGTAACATTTTTAGGCTTGTAGCAATGTAAGCTATGAAATAATTAGGGCAAAAGCTGTAATACCTAAAAACAAATATCCGCGTACACAGAAGTTTAACGTGTAGCAGCTGTGTACCACCAAACATAAAAACTGTTTCATCACGGTGGAATATCTTCATTCGTATATTTGATTACGTAAGACTACCACATGCATCGGAATTCCAGTAGCGGTGGGGTTATTTCATTTTCCGGGATGGGGTTCGTAGCCTTATACCCTACATTTTCTCTTTTTCGGGTTTATAACCGGTTAGTAAACCGGGCGAGGCTTGGCAGTAGTAAGTCATCCAGGTATCGAACCTGGATCTCTTGAGTATTCTACCAATGAACCACCAACACAATTATTGCATAAAACATTCTGATGGCTGGTGCTTAAATCTAAATTATTATAGTACTATAATATATCCAAGCATTGTTTTGTAGGGATTTGATTGATTGGTTACAGGATTTCACCTTGAGCTGACATCGGTTAGAGAACCATTGGAAAACGTGATGAGTACTGGACAGTCAATATTTTCGTCCTAGTTTGGGACTCTTCAGTACGCACCAACAGCCAGGTTCGAACCCAGGACCTTCTGGCTACATGGCAAGCTCATAGACCATTAAGCCACTGGTACCCGATCCAATGACTAGCCCATAAATTCCAACTTCTGCCAATTCACGACATAGCGCGACCGCTGGCCAATGTCTTCGGCAAATATTTCTCCTGCTACAATATATATGTATACTATACTACGTATAAATATATATATATACTACAAAAAATATACTAAAAATTCTTGAAATGGGATGAATTTCCTTAAAAAGTGTATGCAACTTGGATTCCCTTTTGTAAGCAAAAGAAATACATTTATATACATAGTATGACTGACTTCACTGATACTTATAAGTTCATCTTCAATTTTCTTAATTAAAAAACTATTTTGTGAATAATATACTCTGAATATATGACGTAAAAGGTTATGCATGCACCTTAGACATGCACCGACAGATAAAATATCATCAATAATAGAAATTACAAATATTAAGTGCATAGAGAGAACTTTTTTAATCTACTCTAAAGTAAACATGGTCAAAGCGAAACCATGTGGCATAACTATTAGTCATTGTTTGTTTTTACATCTTTTAAAAAACAAAGATTACACTGCATTTTAACTAACATCTTTATCAATATGCCTAAAACTCTACAATCTGTCAAATTAAAGCCATTAAAAGAGTTAAATCAAATATTAAAAGTTACACTTCATGGGCTATTGAGTCGGGGGTCCTATTGGTTGAATGGTCTACGAGCTTGCCTTGGTAACCGGCAGGTCCTGGGCTCGAAACCCAGTGGATGCATACTACTGACGAGCCCCATACCACAACAAAACAACCGCCCAGTACTCTGTGGTTTTCAATGGTTCTCTAACTGATATCAATTCGTGGTCAAACGTCAAATATCAAAATATCTGTTAGGGCAGTAAATATTCATAACGAATAATTAATTTAGAAAAAATCTTCATTTAGATATTTAGAAAGCAAAAGGATAGAGCGAAGAAATATTTACTTTCCAATTAGATCCTCAATGATGCGCATTCAGCAATTAACTTCACCATAGAGAAAGAAAGTAATGACGCTATCTCATTCCCAGACGTCTTCTTGGCCAGGATAGAAGATGGCACACATAGAAGTGTGTGAAGGAAACCTACAACAACGGGTCAGTACACTCATATTTTGAGTTTTGCGCCTCTGAAATGTAAACGTAACTTGGTAAAGTGTCCGGTTCATAGAGCTACGATAATCTGTTCAAACGACTCCGTCAGTGAGGACTTTAGGATTCTTAGAGAATGGTTATCGAGATAAGTTCATTGAGGAAAATATGAATTCAGCACCAAGGAGAGTCAGTATGGCAACAGCTCCAAAAAAATCCATTGTTCATAAAACTGCAGTTCCTCAATGTTAACATCAGCGAAATAGTAACACAGCGACTGAAAAATGCAGTTAAAAGAGCTTTCAAAGCAGCAGAGTTGCGTTTTCCCTTCATTACTACCCCTATTTTACGTTCGAGAAATACAGACAAACTACCTAATTTTGCCTCCTCAATGTGTATCTACCGATTTGACTGCAACTACGGAGCCAGCTACATTGGGCGTACAATTAGGCAGGTTTATCATCGTATTTCCGAACATTATCCAGCATGGTTAAGCAGGGGACAAACAAGATCTATTCGTAGCTCCACTTTAACACACCTTGTAGACAGTGTGCATACGATTGACGTTAATACAGCATTTAAAATTATTTATCGCATTCCTATTAATCTTAATTTTGCTTTACGAGTTCGTCTTCTACATACAGCTGAAGCCATAGGAATTTACCTGAAGAAGCCAAACCTGTGTTCAGAAGAAATTTGCACAGCCACTTTCTTTACCTTGACCATAGTTACATGAATGTATAAACTGGACTACTTCACCCACCTCACTCTAAGCCTTTTAAAAATTAGAATTGTACAAATTATTTTATTCTTATGACTATTTCATCTTTAATTAGAAGTTACCATTGTCCAAATGGTTTTATTTTTCCTTAATAATCTCTTAAGTAATAAACTTGAGCACTCACTTATTCCTTAATTACTCTTCATTTTTTCCAAAATTATACATTATGCAATCCACTTGTTGTAACCATTTCTACCTTTCAATTATGTGCATTAAGTTTCTTCGTTAATTATCACCCCCCTTGACATGTTGACACTGACTAATTATTGTTAACAAACATATCGCCACTTGATTTATAAGTTGTTGTGTATTGTAAAAACGAAATGCAATATATTTTAGAGTAGAGCCAGAGATGAGGATCTAATTGAAAAGTAAATATTTCTTCGCTCAATCCTTTTGCTTTCTGAATAATTAATTCAGTGTAATTGTTACTGAAAGACTGAGTGTATTGCAAAGTGCGAATGAATTTAGCTAGAAAGGGAGAATATCAGTCAATAAACTCACACATCTGACTAATTGAGTTTCAGCGTAGGAT